AAACTGAACCACTGGACCACCTACTATCATTGTTCACCTCCAGGGGATTGGCTTCGACCGAGTATTTGTTGGGACTTCATCACACATCAATGGGGAGCTTTGCTTCTACGCAGAGGGTCAATATTCTATTTTTATGGAAGACGCTCCAATAAGATGTTTTATGAAGACTATTAAACTGTACAATATAGAAAATATTACGGTCTGGAAATTAATACACTAAGATCTGTTATGCTTTAAATGCAAATACCACTTATAGATATAACTATATATTTATATAAATATATTATCCAAACAAGCTAGGCGCTCAGTGTGCAAAAATAATATATCTGCAAACTCGACTTGGCGCATCCACTGGCTGTAAATCCAGGTATCGGACGAAAACGAGCACTTAGGGGGGTTTTAATAAACGGAGCTCTGCAAAACTAGAAAAAAGAATCCTGTATTTCCAGTGTGTACGCAGAATGTTGGAATTTTATTTTTATTACATTCAATATACTCAGTCCAGCTGAAAGTCTTGATCCGATAGTACAGTGTGGGGGATCTGTGCTTCCTGCCATGAGAGCAGCAGGAGTGGAGGGTCTCACAGGATCCCATGCTGCAATCGGCAACACGGACAAATAAAATGACACTAAAATTGAACATATTGCTTCATCGAAAGCTGTGCGGCGTTGAGTCCAAAAACAATGGGTGACAGTCTGCCCTTGGTTTTTGTTTTGTTTTTGTTAATGTTGTAGTAACCCCCCTTTAAAATAAATATATTTTTCTCACATTAAGGCTTCTATAAAAATATTCTTATCTATCACCCCCACCCCCTAAAGTGGATCTTCTGCTGCACAATAAAAAAAAAAATTAAGATGATTGAGAAGTGTGCAAAAATTAGTTATTTTTGTCCAAATCAAATTCCTTTTACTCTGCACCCAAATGAACTAATTTGTCCAGGGCTTACTTATTTAATGAATACAATTCCAGAGGTAAAGCCTGGGCGAATCTATTCATTCTGGATTTAAAGGATATTAATTCTGATTAACTGGCTGTAATCTAGGGACATGCAGAGTCTGTGCATGCGCAGTGCCTGGCTGTTGCAGACTAGTTAGGTAACTGGAAACTGTAGAGAACTGACCAAGAACTTGCTAATTTCAGGCCAAAACAAGTTGGAAAAGCTCTAACTCTTAATATTGACCTAAAGCTCGCCCCTGACAGGTATTTACGCAACAAGGAATTGTGAGGAATTGCCCAGACATATTTCTGTGCAACAAAAATCAAATAGCCCCAACGATGGCCACATCATTATGTACCGTGAAGGTTATAAATATTCCGACTGATGTAAAATAGCTCCTAATCCCAAACTGTGTAAAATAGAGGTTTTATCCTTTAATTTATTTTGAATGGGAAGATGTATATTACGGCATTATGATTTTATTTTTGTGAATTTCGCTTTCAGTGTAATACACCGTTTAATCCCGTTTTAACAACCTTTACTTGGCTTTTGCATTTTTCACGTTAATGGTAAACTATTTATCTCTGCCTTGTGAGCACCGCATCCTGAACTAGCGTTAGTAATTACAAAGAAACACAGGATGCAGTACAGAAGAATGCAGTTGTTATGGTGCCGAGACTATCCCTTTAATCGGCTCTACCTGGACGAGAGGACCGATCCTCACAGAGGATCACTTATTGGGTTTGCAATGCCAGGTGTATGTACTTTTTTTTTTAGTGGAGTTTTTAAAAATTAAAAATATTAACCAAAATTTACCAAGTTCTTGACCAAAAATTGGGAAAAAAAAAAAAAAAAACTAAAGTGTCCTGCAAAGTATTGTATTCAATATGGTATTGTATTCAATTTCCTACACAGAGTTAGCCCACATAACAAACTGAAGATTTTTATTAGAAAATCCTAATTTTCTAAATAAATGTTTCTGAGTATGACAGAACATTGGGCTCTGCGCTATAGACAAACCTTCATGTCGAGGTAGAGCTGTGAGTGGGAAGGCCAGCATGTGTTCAGGTGCCATGGTGAGAGAGAGAAATTAACAGCTTGATCACTAATCAGCAGATTGTGGAAATGCACAATGTGGAGAGGAATAAAAAAATTAAAATTGACACGCTGCCTGAAAACACTCTACAAGTAGAGCTTTTACCACCCGTAAAACGTCTTTAAAGAAACCGTAACTTTATTTACGTTAGATGTGTTCTTTGCTCTGTTAATCATCCAGGTCTATTCCCTCCCCATTTTAAAATTCAAGGTTAAAACCCCCCATTTATTTTAGTGGTGGGACAGTCTCCTCGCATAGTCTCACTCTCCTCCATGAGGATATAAAATGGCGATCTTGGTACAATCCAGGGTTTCTCACAATGAATACACAGTGAATGTCACACAGGGCTAATACGATGCTGATATATAAGGAGCACTAAACGTGCAGCATCATTAAATATTGAAGGTTTATAGAAGTGCCTCTCCTGGCTGTCACTACTGATGTGTTCCAGGCACAATATAAACAGCACAGATTCACTGGAGCAGCAGTATTTTACATTATCCAACAAAAGGACCCAAATCATTTCATTAACATGGATTGCTTTGAGTGTCCTATTAATATAAAATATCCTTACATCAACGTAAAAATAATATATAGTCATGGTCCTTGGTTAACAGAACATTCTGTAGTTTTTAAAGGAAGCAGCCTGTAAAATTATCTACAGCCACTTTGTATCATATTCCTCTCTGGTCGAGATGATTCACAGAAACTAGGGTTCTCCTGACCGATACTGTCCATTCTTCGCTGTAGGGCCTCCGATTCTGTGAAAGCGGACATCAGCAGCAGTAACCAGTGTGAGAGCACCAGACTATATCAAACCACTCAAATATTTAGACATCAACTAGCGGGAGATAATGCCCACACACTCTTTGCCCCATAACCAAGAAGTTGTAATAATTCAACGATCAGCTGTAGTGCTTCGAGCAGTGCTCCCGTTATGTGAATCGTTGTTTTGTAAGAACAATGTTTACATTAAACGGTTAAGCAAGCCTCTGGTGGCAGTCTTCCGAACGGCCATTAGATGCACTCCCATCTCCATAACCGAATACAATTCAGTCCTGCTCATAGCAGCTATGGACTGGAAGAGTGCAATGTCTTGCAGCGCATGCATTCTCGTCCCCCATGGTTCTCTGAGAAGCATTGGATTAGACAAGTTTGCAGGTGATGTCAGCAGGGACGCTGGAAAGAATTGGCCTTGAAGCTAGAAACATGTTAAGTTAACTATATTTAACTTCACTTTTACAGAGCAAAGGGGGTGATCACAGCGATGGAAGGGAACTTCTATACCCAAAATAACTATTGTTTCCCTTTAATACAATCCTATCTGTCCGGGTAGAGAGAGTCCATTAATAAATTGACTGCAGCTGCTCTAGAATGGAGAACAGCCCATTAAAACACGCTTCAGCTCATCTAGATAATGCTGATAATGAACAATACATTATGGGAAAGTGCTGTTCTGGCTCCACAAATAGGCTGCAGGAAGGATATGTAGATACTCACAATTATTTTGTTTGGAAGGTGATTTTCCTCTAATTCCCCACATCAGGACACAATAAAACTTTTGTAAATTTCATTACAAATATGGCTTACACTAACGCAACCAAATCCTCTGTTTATAAGACCGGATATGAATTTTCGGAACGTTTCAGACTAAAAATAACGTATTAGGAATGATTGTCTGTAATGTTTGCTTGTTTAGTCCCCGGACTGTCCTGTTAAACAAGCAAACAATGCCTCCCAAGGGAAAGTCACCCCTTCCTGCATTATTTAAAGAGATAAACCCCATCACTATAAACACTCCACACGCTGCCCGAATCATCGCAAACTGGGAACATTACTGACTGCATGTGTTATAGCAACGGCACAGAGGATTTACCAGAAAATTAGTGCCTGTCTTGGATTACGGACATTAAGGGTGACCCCTCTCCATCAAAATATATCCAGGCTATTTACTAAACTGTGACTGGTCATGCTACCCAAACTGAACAGATTCTCAGAATCAGCTGATTGAAATGTTCTTTCCAGTTCATTTGAGGCAGAAATGTGATTCCTGATAAATCGCACTTTAGGAAATTTAAAATTCAGGCTAAAATATAAAATAAAGCTGTAACTATAGCTATAGAGTTTTTCCAAACGGGCTGTTTTAGCCTTAATTTTGCAGTTCGGAATTCTATTTCTTACAATGTTGAATTTAGTGAATAACCATATGTGAATTCGGAAAAACTGTACCAGCTTGTTTAATTATATATACCGATAACATGGCTTTACCTCCAAGTATTAAATTCCCCTTCCTGTATAGATCTGTACGATTCACCTGGCTGCTTTATAAACCTTGTTCAGTCTCTTACCCAGCCAGAGCCTACAAAGAAAGAATGTGAAATAAAATCACATTGTACATTGTAATATAATAATCTGTGGTTCTTACTTTCAGCTTTGTACACTGCCATGATCGTCTGATACTATAATGAGCATTTTCTTGGCAGTAAGTTAGAAGAATAATAGGAAACGCTAGTTTTCATAATTTAGTGTCTTCATTACTCGTTTAACATCACCCTATATTCCAGTAGCTAAGAAGGTAAGCAGAGCTGGTCGGCGGACTTTTCAACAGGTGTCCATTGCGGTGTTTTTCAGCTAAAATAACTGGGAATTAAATAAAAGACAGAATCACATGGCCTACGTGATGCCATGGCTGGATGGTAGGATTTCTTTTCAACTACAAATTGAGCTCTTGCGTCTCAGCCGTGAATGTTTACTGCTTGTTTTGGCAGTGCCTAGTAAATTCTTGGGATCCAGCTGTACCAGAATAAATAGCTGTTGTGGTTTAAAAAACATCAGAAGGCCGAATGGATGTTTTTTTTCTCAAGGACAAGAAAAAAAAATAAAAACACAAACTATTTATTAAGATTTCTGTTACTGCCAATGACAGACGCAAGACTCACGCAATCACATATATGTAGGACAACAGGTCTGGCTTTGGGGTGAAGAATAACTAAGGACCCTACAATATATAACAGCCACTGAAAGCTCTGATCCCCATGCAACAGGTAGGGTCTACCAAAAATCCCATAAACTGGCTCTGGATGGTCTTGTTTTAACATCATCCAAATTCCCCATCCATGACACTTAATCCAATTATCAACTCTCTTTAATTATTTCAGGCCAGTGCCATATTCTTCATTCTAGAACACAATGAAATATACTAATTGCTATCTATTAAACAACCAGTAAACTTTTGCCAGACTGTAACACACAAATCATTCCAACCCTATATCCAAGACAGAACCATGTGGATCCATTCACTATGAATAAAGGGGTAGCACGTTCTGCCAATCTAACATTTTAAAATAAAGCACAACGTGCAGTATATTCATGTGGTTTATCAATATTTCACACTTCATTCTGCTGCAAACACCAGCCTCAATTTAAATGATTTCAAACTGCTACTAACTGTACAGATTAAAGATCACAGTCCCAGTCGCCCACATAGAGGTAACTCGAAAATATGGATTTCATGTGTGCACAGCCCTCACACCTCAGAGGGTCACAGTGCCACTGCCTGCCCACAGTCTGTCCTGGCAGAAAAGGAGTTATCAGCTGGTATTTCAAGGCAGAGGGCACAACACAGCCAATCCATCCAATGCTGGAGCCTGGAGGTGAAAGCCGTATTTAGCCAATTTATTTTCTTAGACTAAATCTATCCTTACAAGGGAACAAACCGGTTATCAACACATCTATCCCTGGTGTCACGAAGGAAACATTTAAATATCTTGTATGAAAATATTCCTAAACTGGTGAGATTGCTAAACTGGGGAAAAATATTAGTGCATTTTTCTAATAATTCGAACCATGCATAATACTAACCAATTATTCAGAAAATAGAGGTTTTAATAGGGAGCACAGATCAATAAAATCTTAATGTTATGTTACTTTATGGAAAAGCATCATTTCATTCTTTGTACATTAAAAATATCTCCTCCTCCACCCCTTTGGATTTGTGACAGTCTAAAAGAAAGAGTAACACGTAGCCCCATTGTACAACACTACTGATTATGTCAGAGCTTTAAAGGTTACTATAAAGCAGAGATTCCCTAAATCACGCCAATAATCCTTTCATGCCAAGCAATGTATTGAATCCAAGCACATGATATAAATACATGTAATACGAACAGACTGATAGCAGCTGCACTGCCTTGTGCTTAAAAAAAGTTCAGCTATCTGTGTTTAAAGTACACATTGTACAGAAAATCGAGCTTCCTTGTGTGTTCCTAAAACAATCTACATTAATCCATTATAATCTCCAGCGCCCTGGCTCGTTTTGCTAGCGTTGAATAAAAGGAATTATCTGTTTAAATATCGGTTTCTCTAGGAAGTGTCTAGGTTTGCATTCCTGGAAGCCACTGTAGGGCCTCCTGCTGTGTTTCCTATCTCAGTCTCTTCGCCATGGTGGTCTCCTGTGTCTTAGGTTTGATTGCCCGTTTTGTGCCGTTTGTCTTGGAGTTAATGGGGGGAGTCTGGCACGTGATTATAGTCCTCTGATTCCTCCTGAAATAGGCGACAACCACAAACGTGACGCAGACCACAGGCACCAACAGGAAGATCAGAGGTTGCCACTGGCTGGGAATCTCTTTCATCAAGTTACGGATACTCCTGCCGATTGCGTGACTCGTTAATTCCACTGGGTGCAGGACTATACGGCTAATGGCCGAGCTGATTGCCTGCAATGGGGCAAAGATAAAAAAGTTAGACTTTGAGAGGTAGAATTCATTACATACACTCATTCCAAATTCCTAATTTGATTATAGAAGGACATAAAGCAATGGGCACAGTGCCTTCATTCTACCATTAGAGTGATAGACCAACTATGTTGATGAAGACCCCAGTAAGAGCTGAAATGATGAAAGGTCTGCCTTTCAGATGCTAGGATAGACAATGTGGTTTCACTAAGGCCCCCAGGACCAGCACCAGCACCTATTAAGCTAACTCCTGTAGGAGCAGAATTTGTCTCCCACCCCTAAAACCAGTCCAGATTTCCAAAGCTTGCTCCATAATCTAGATCAGGGGTTCGCAACCCAGTCCTGAAGTACCCACCTAACAGTCCAGGATTTAGGGATTACCTGGTTGTGTTTTTAGAAATAAATAAATAATAATAAAAAAAAAACACACACACTTTAGACACAACAGGACAGGGCCGGACTGGGGATTCCAAAGCAGCCCTGGAAAAAAAATCTATGCCAGCCCCATAAGTCATTGCGCCATATATTGTCGCATGTAATATGTAAGACTATGTCTTGCCACCCTAGATGATGATGTCTTTTTCCAATATAAAATATTGGTCCTTTCAGAGTAAAATTTTTAATTATACAGTAAGCATACTCACATGCAGACACAGACAATCTCACTGACACAAGCTGATTGATACACAGCCTCACAGACAAACAATCTCACTGAAATACACAAGGTCATTGACATAAAAACACAAGCTCACTCAGTAGCAGGCACACACACACGCAAGCCCACTCACTAGCAGGTGCGCACACACACACAGCTTAATATAGTGGCTCTGGTGTCTATAGCCTGTCCCTGCAGGCTTTTCAATGTAAACACTGACTTTTTAGAGAAAAGGCAGTGTTTACATTGCTTCCTAGTGACAGACACTCAGACAGTCACTAGAGGTGCTTCCTGTGTCAGTGCGGATTGGCTGAGATCATCAAGCTTGATGATCTCAGCCGTAGAGGCAGGGCCAGTCGAGGGGAGACCAGCATGACGTGAGGGGAAAAAAAAGGTGAGTAAAAACACACATACCATGACAGACACACACCATGACACAGACAGACCGTGACACATACACACACACACACCGTGACACAGACAGAAACACAGACACACCATGACAGACACACACACACACACCATGACAGAGACACACACATACCATGACAGACACACACCTTAAAGGACCACTATAGTGCCAGGAAAACATACTTGTATAGTGCCCTGAGGGTGCCCCCACCCTCAGGGTCCCCCTCCCGCCGGGCTCTGGGGAGAGGAAGGGGTTAAAATCTTACCTTTCTCCAGCGCCGGGCGGGGAGCTCTTCTCCTCCTCCATAGCGACGTCATCGGCTGAATGCGCATGCGCGGCAGGAGCCGCGTGCGCATTCAGCCAGTTCATAGGAAAGCATTTACAATGCTTTCCTATGGACGCTGGCGTCTTCTCACTGTGATTTTCACAGTGAGAAGCACGCAAGCGCCTATAGCGGCTGTCAAGAGACAGCCACTAGAGGCTGGATTAACCATATTATAAACATAGCAGTTTCTAAAACTGCTATGTTTATAAAAAGGGTTAATCCTAGATGGACCTGGCACCCAGACCACTTCATAAAGCTGAAGTGGTCTGGGTGCCTATAGTGGTCCTTTAAAAAAGAGACACACACACATCTTGACACACACCATAACACAGACAGACCGTGACACAGACACACACACACCATGACACAGACACACATTACATGACACAGACAGACACACACACCACGACACACAGACTGTGACACAGACACACACAACGTGACAGACACACATTACATGACACAGACACACATTACATGACAGACACACACAATGACACAGACACATTGCATGACACAGACACACATTGCATGACACAGACAGACACACACACACACACACACACACACACACATCAGACATACACACACACACACACACACCATGACACACACACACACACACCATGACACACACACACACACACCATCAGACATATACACACACACACACACACACCCACACACACCATGACACACACACACACACACACACCATGACACACACAATTGCTACCTGTGTGCTGGCATGGGGAGCTCTGATGGCGGCCGCATGGGGGAGCTGGCTCTTCTTGCGGCCGCAGAGGGAGCTGGCTGTTCTGTCTCTGCTCCCCCTCCCCAGCGCACGTCATATTCCAGCCCCGGTCTCATTAAGCGGCACGCTGGGGAGGGGTAGCAGAGACAGAACAGCCAGCTCCCCCTGCGGCCGCCATCAGAGCTCCCCATGCCAGCACACAGGTAGCAATTGTGTGTGTGTGTGTGTCATGGTGTGTGTGTGTGTATGTCTGATGGTTTCTGCAAATAAAAATATAATTATCAGAAGAAAACGTGTAGCAAAATAGATCATAATGCTGAAATATACATATTTGTGTTAACGTGCTAAAAGCAAACCAAATAATTGGTTTCAAAGGAGGATATTACAGAACTGGCAAAAATGATACTAGACGATTAAAGGACCACTATAGGCACCCAGACCACTTCAGCTTAATGAAGTGGTCTGGGTGCCAGGTCCAGATGGGATTAACCCTTTTTTCTGTAAACATAGTAGTTTCAGAGAAACTGCTATGTTTACCGATGGGTTAATCCAGCCTCTAGTGGCTGTCTCATTGACAGCCGCTAGAGGCGCTTCCGCACTTCACTGTGATTTTCACAATGAGAAGACGCCTGCGTCCATAGGAAAGTATTGAGCATGCTTTCCTATGGACTGGCTGAATGCGCGGAGCTCTTGCCACGCATGCGCATTCAGCCGAAGAGGGAGGAGAGGAGGCGGAGAGCTCACCGCCCAGCATTGGAGAAAGAGGTAAGTTTAACCCCTTCCTCTCCATCCAGCCCGGAGGGAGGGGGACCGTGAGGGTGGGGGCACCCACAGGGCACTATAGTGCCAGGAAAACAAGTATGTTTTCCTGGCACTATATTGGTCCTTTAATAATGATTCCACAGAGAATATGGTTGTTATTATTATTTATAAAGTGCCAACAAATTTACTATTTATGTGGTAAGATGTAACTTGGACAGCTGACTGAGCTCCCCATGTTACGACAGGTCAATTACAAGGCGTTAATCATGTTAAAGTGCAGAAAGGGAGAAGCGAGCATTAAAGGATAGCATCTGGTTTTAAGATCACAGTCTTTGTACAACGCTGGCCCCTGTATTTATTTACATCTCAGTCCGTTTTCGTTACTTAATTACTCGTTATGAAAGCCAGGCTCACAGAATCCATGCAGACGGACTAATCTTTAATTCTCTTTGCAATCAATTCCCTTTTTCTTCGTGAGCGCGTGGATTTAGCTATGATTAACTGTACATTGTGGCATTAAACGGCCGTAATGAGAATGGTGTCTGTTTGGCAAGGCAAATGAGGTCACTAGGCATTTATTTTAGGGAAAACACAGGGCCGAGATAACGTGCATCACAAACAATCCTGGCTGCTGAACAGATTTGTTCCAAAAAATACGGAAATAAAACCACAGCTTTATCAGAATAACGAGGGAAAGGAAAAACCTGCTTTGTATCAAACCGCTCAAAAACGGTTTGTTATGGTACTTTGAGTCCATCTAGTGTAGAATGATATTGAATACAAAAAAAAATAGAGATCTATAAAGTTTTGACACATTGCGCAGTGCTGTAAAAAAGGAATTAATTATGGCAAAACAAGCCTGACATACAGGAACAAGAGGTAATGAGGGCCCTGTTTACAAGAGATTACAATCTAATGTGCCATTTTACATAGGGCTTTCTATGCTATATTTTAACCTTATTTCTTATTTACACAGACTGATTTCTAAACACATTTAAAGACACATTACTGGGAGTATTATTGCTGTGGAGCTCTGTTATACACTCAGACACATAACTGGGAGTATTATAGCTGTGGAGCTCTGTTGTACAATACACACAGACTAATACAAAAGG